TCAATAAATGGTTTTAGGGACTTTGAACAGATACAGGAAAATGAAATTAGAACCACCTTACACCATACAGAAGAGTAAACTCAAAATAGATTAAAGGCAAATGTTTGACCCTAATCCATAAAAATCCTAGAAGAAAACACAGGCAACAAAATCTTGGACATTTCTCATAGCAGTATTTTTTCAGATATATCTCTTCAGGCAAGGGAAACAAAAGAAAAAATAAATGGAGGGGACCACATCAAACTAAACAGTTTTTGCACAGCAGAGGAAACTCAACAAAATTAAAGGACAGCCCACTGAATGAAGGAACATTTGCCAATGATATGTCTGATAAGGGGTTAATATCCAAAACTTATAAAGAATGTATACAGCTCAACACCCCAAAAAATAATCCAATTAAAAAATCAGCAAAGGGCCTGAGTAGACACTTCTCCAGAGAAGACATACAGATGGCCAATAGACATGAAAAGATGCTCAATGTCAGCAATCATCAGAGAAATGCAAATTAAAACTACAGTGATATATCACCCCACACATGTCAGAATGGTTATCAGTAAATCTACAAACAAGTGCTGGCAAGGATGTGCAGAAAGGGGGACCCTTTTGCATTGTTGAGGGGAATGCACTCTGGTGCAGCCACAGTGGAAGCAGTATGGAGTTTCCTCAAAATGTTAAATGGAATTGCCTTATGACCCAGTGATTCCACTTCTGGGAATATATGCACCCATGTTCATTGCAGCATTATTTACAACAGCCAAGATTGGAAGCAGCCCAAGTGTCCATCAGTAATTGAGTGGATAAAAAAGCATTGGTACATTTACCACTGCTTTGGAATACTATTTGGTCATAAAAAGGAAGGAAACCTTACCTTTTGTGACAACATGAGTAGTCATGAAGACAATTATGCTAATGAAATACGCCAGTCAGAAAAAGACAAGTACCACACTATTTCACTCACAGGTGTAATCTAATGAATGAAAGAAACTAACAAAATAGAAACAGACTCATAGAGAACAGACCGACAGCCATCAGGGGATGGGGCTGGAGAACAGGGTGAAAAGGTGTAGTGATGAAGCAAACACAAAAAATCCTCACAGAGACAACAGTATGATGATCACCAGAGGAAAAGGGTAGGTACAGGAGTGTAAAGGGGGGCAAATGACTGGAGGCAGTGAACACGCAGTGTACAGATGATGCATTATCGGGCTGTACACCTGAACCTGTATAATTAACCGATGTCACCTCAGTAAATCACTTAGGAAAAAGGAAAAGGACATTGATTTGTGTGTGTCCTTGTAATAGTAGTGGGCAGGGTTGCTCTGCTCAGTATCCAGATCTCCGGGGGTCCAAATTCCTCCAGTTAACCTCCCCCAGCCTTTTTCAAAACTTGTTAGGTTGCCGTCCTTTCAAAGAATACACACTTTCTTTTGGGGCTCCTAATTTCTTTCCCCTAAGTTCTCTTTCCTTATTTCTCTTAAAAAATGTAGCCACTAGAGTCTCCACACATGATCTTTAAAACTCTTTATTGAAATGTCATGCCTACAGAGAAACACACCAACCCCAAAAGTACAGCTTGGTGGACTTTCAGGGTACATGCACCCCTCTACCCAGTGCCCCCAAGGCCCCAGCGACTCCCGCTAGTCACTACTCACTCCCCGACGCCCAGCACCGCCGCATGTTCTCATTTTTAGATACTGACTTTACAACCAGAACCCCCACAGAAACTCGCACCGTGCGCATAGTGTGGAATAATCCGATCAGTCCAGTACAGATGCTCACACAGCCACACGACATGGTAATACTTGAATACGCTCCTCTTAGCTCTGGCCTTTGGCAAATCACTCACCATTTTGGTGTTCTCTTTTCCCCTTTACCGTAAGGTCTAAATGAATCTTTCAACTGGGAAATAGGTAGGCACTCTAAAGTGTCTGTACATAAGTGGAAAAAACAGTAAAAGTGTAAAAGCCACTTTTTTGAGTAGGTAGAACATTAGGGTTCCACATTAATACAGAAATAGTAACTGGGAGAGAATAACAATAGCTTCCTAGTAGAGAACCAGAACAATACAAAGCTGACTTGCTTCGCAGTTGTACTTATCAGTTATTTATTATTTTAAAATGAAAATTGCATAATGGATATATATGAATGGTTTGTCTTTTTGTGTATGTTATTATAGGTGTCCAAAATAAGTCAGATTAACAAGGTTTATTCATTTTGTCATTAAGTCTGCTTGTCCGATTTGCTTTAACTGATTTCAGAAACACTGGATATCTATAAGATATATAGGTGACTTGATTGTAAATCATTTATATCTGGTTTTCCCCTCACCAGGACCTGCTAAGTACCAATTACTCCTATTCTTCCAATCTAAAATTGTGTTTCATTTCCCCATTCAAGCAAACTATCCTGGTCCTTCTGAGTAAGAAATTGAAACTTGTGATAAGATTTTTTTCCCTCCATCCATGAGACTTTTAGTAGAACTTCAAAAAAAAAAAAAAGGAATACTGCCCTGGCCAGTGTGGCTCAGTTGGATGGGTATTGCTCCACAAAGCAGTGTCACCAGTTCGATTCCCAGTCAGGACCCATGCCTGGGTTACAGGCTCTGTCCCCCAGTTGGGGCACAAACAAGAGGCAACCAAGCAATGTCTCTCTCTCACATTGTTCTCTCTCTCTCTCTCTCTCTCTCTCTCTCTCTCTCTCTCTCTCTCTCTCATTTCTAGAAGGAAAGGAAGGAAGTCTGAGTAACATATAGTTAAGTCTACTTTATATAGAATGTGGAAATTGTTTTGTTTGTTCAGAAATTACTTCGCATATTGGCCCTGGCTGATATAGCTCAGTGGATTGAGCTCCAGCCTATGAACCATAAGGGCCACTGGTTCAATTCCCAGTCAGGGCACATGCCTGGGTTGCAGGCCAGGCCCCCAGTAGCGGGGTGTGAGAGGCAATCACACATTGATGTTTCGCTCCCTCTTTCTCCCTCCCTTCCCCTCTCTCTAAAAATAAATAAAATCTTTCTTTTAAAAGAAATTACTTAGCATATTGATACACTCTGCATCACCTATTCAGTGGGCACACAGATATGGAGGAACTACCCCTGACAACTAGGCTAAGTCTGTATCTTTGGATTTTAGGGATAGTTTAATAGACTGTTGGTACCCAATAAGTGTGAAGTGATACAATATTTGAGATATCTAATAGAAAACCACAGTGAATTCAAAATATTGTATAATCTTCTTACCTATTTTAAATTGTATAACTCACCAATAAAGAACAGGCAGTTATTAAATATAATTAAATGGCAGGCATTCACACAACAGAACAAAAGGAAGCATTCTCACCAAGTGAAGAAGAACCTAGTGAGACAGCTATAGAAAATTTCATTGGGTACCAGTGGATTTAACTAGTTTCTTTTAAGCATTTACTCTTAGAAGAATGATGCCAGCCTGCAGGAACTATAGGACATGCCTCTAAAAACAAAGACAAGTGCTTCTCCTCTCTAGTTGCTTTCTTTGTCCCAAAATACACTTACTGTAAGCAAGAGTGTATGCTTATGCCACCTGGACCTTACTCTTAACAGATTTAGCTGGAATTCCAGGCTGCTTTGGATCTCCCAGCTATAAGGAAAACTGGCGCAGGAAATGGCAATAAACATCAACACAATAGTTGTGTTGTATGGTTATTGAAATATTTTAACGTATTTCTTCCTTTAAGATATTTATTAATTACCATGCTTGCGAGCAAATAAAAATCAGATGACTAACAGCTCTTACATGTGGATAGAGCTTTATTCTTTAAAGTACTTTTAACCAGATCTGATTTTATTGGTAAAACATCCTTGTATTAGTCTGTTGCATGTGCCATAACTAAATTCCATAGACAAGGTGGCTTAAAGAACAGAGATTTCTCACATTTCTAGAGGCTCAGAAGTCCACAATGGAGGTGTCAGTATGATCCCTGGTGAGGGCTCCTCCTGGCTTGCGGACAGCCTCTTTGCAGCTGTGTCCTCCTGTGATACCTTCCGTGCACACGTGTGGAGAGAGCCTCCCCCGTCCGTGTAAGGCACCAGTTCCATCAGATTAGGACCCCACTCTTGCGGCCACATTTAATCTTCACTACATCCTAAAACCCTTACCTCTAAATACAGTCACATTGCGGGTTAGGGCTTCAGCATATGGATTTGGTGGGGGTGGGGGTGAGAGGTGGGCACAATTCAGTCCATAGCACCTGAACTTCTGAGGTAGTAAGTTAGGAGATTACTTGATATCTTTCAGGTTAGAAAGCTACTAAAATATTAGAACTAAGATTCAAATACAGTTCCTTTTACTCAGCTCCATGCTCTCTTCCTTAGTTACTGATATGGTTCCTCTGACAAAAGAAAATGATCCCGTCACATAAAATAGAGGTCACTGATTGATCACAGAGAATTATCAAAATCAGCTTCATGTTTTTGCATGTTGCATATTTGTGAAAAATGATAGATTTTGACTGTTAAAGTTTGTAAGTGGTATGCTCTGGAATTTTTAGTCAGCTAAAGTCAGGGAGCTCTAAAACTGCTGTAAAAGTACTAAGCTAAACCCTGGGCAGTGTGGCTCAGCTGGTTGGAACATCATCCCATAACCAAAAGGCTGCGGGTTCAGTTCTGGTCAGGGCACATGCCTAGGTTGTGGGTTTGATCCCCAGTCTGGGCACATACGGGAAGCAACCAATTGATGCCTGCCCCTCCCTCTCCCTCTCCCTCTCCCTCTCCCTCTCCCTCTCCCTCTCTCTCTCTCTCTCTCTCTCTCTCACCCACCTTGGTGTTTCTCTGTCTCCCTTCCTCTCTCTAAAAGCAATGAAAAAAATGTCCTTGGGTGAGAATTTAAAAAAAATTAAAAAGAGTAGTAAGCTAAGTTTTAAAATGGTATTAGAATTATACTGTCCAGGCTGGAGTTGCCTTTTTAGCATTCTTCATGTTTATGATTAAAGTATCAAAATTAAGTGTTTCATTTTATATTTTACAGAAGATGATCTAAGAAATATGGGACCAGTAGATGCTCAAGTATATCTTGAAGAAATGTCTTGGAACAAAGGTTGGAATTCTTCTTTCTCTTGATAATCATAAACGGAAATATTAGGGATTTTCTGTAAGGGAAAAAAATCTCAGGAATTTGGAATCTTAAAAAGAAATAATATCTTGGCTTTTTGTTGTTTTTGTCTGGAATATTTTTGTTTCATTCTAAACTTCAGTTATTGATGTCTCCTCCATAACTCATTTCTAGTTATTGTTCTCTTCTAATGAGACGTTAGGCACATGGGTTTCATAAGGTTTTCTTCTTTTAAACTACTTTGGTTTTTGGTTTACTCACCACCTGTGTGATAGGGAAAATAAAAGAGATAGTTTTTTTCTGCCATTCCTATATTGACATTAGAGATGAACTTCCATTAGAATTTTTGTTTATATGGAATCATAAACTGTTAGGGAAAGCCTTTCCAAGTTATATTCTACTTGGAACTTGATTTTATACCCACTTTTTAATTGTGTCTTAGGTGGAAAATAAAAATCTGTCACTCCCCTTTACTTACCATGAAGTCATGTGTTTTTTTTTTCACTTTCCTATTCACTAGAGTTTTAAAATCTCTAGTCACTAGAATTTTAAAATCTAACTTAATTTTTCCACTCTTGATAGTTCTGTAAGTTGCTCTAGCGTGACATTAAGTTCCTTTTTGTGAGTAGAAGCTGTGAATACCACACTTCTGTGTGTCTCTGGACAAATGAAGAAACCTTCCTTGGCTTGGGGTACAATTCCCTTGGGGTTTATAAAAACTTACTGATGAGTATGAATAGGTAGAAGATAAACAGCCCATCCTTCCTGAAACCAAGTTTAATGAGATGTTGTTGTAATGGCAAATTCTTAACTGCGTGTTGGCTCTGACGGGGGAGCGTGTTTCTGCCTGTGGGCCCCTCCGTTGCCTAAAGTGCCAGATGAAATTCTAGAGCAGATATTTTGATTTGCTGCGAATGAATGGAGAACAAGGTTTTTTGTAACTGGGGCTCCCAGGGGTCGACACAATTTCTTGAGCAAAAACTGGAAGAGCCACTGCTGTGCCAACAGAATACACTAGTGGCATAGGCTTTCACTGCTAGATCACGAGGGGACAGAATGATTTATCAGGGACACCCGCCCAACTAAATAAACCTTTTGAAAATATCGTATTATTGCTCTATCGATTAGTATGTGTGTATATGTATTTTATCTTTTTTTTAAAAGATTTTATTTATTTATGTTTGGAGAGGGAAGGGAGGGAGATAGAGAGAGAGAAACATCAATGTGCAGTTGCTGGGGGTTATGGCCTGCAACCCAGGAATGTACCCTGGCTGGGAATCGAACCTGGAACACTTTGCTTCGCAAGCCTGTGCTCAATCCACTGAGCTACGCCAGCCAGGGTGTATTTTATCTCTTATTACACAAATTAGTTCTTGCTGTAGTTGATATGACTAGTATATTTTGTTTACTCTTCTGATAATGTGAAAACAGTGAAGAATGGGTTTTGTAATTTTTTCCTTCAGTAACACTTTAAAAATATAATAATTTAAGATTTTTTAAAAAGAATATGAATTGGTGGTTCAAGCATCTGTTCAGTCAACAAAGGTATGAACTTTCTGAAAAGATACTGAGGGGAGTGCACAACTGAGCTCAGGCGTTGTCATGACCTGCTGTCGTCCTTGAGACTTCCTAAGTGAACTTGTCGGCCAGGAAGTCACGGAGGACGCCAGCCACAGCCACTGGATCTGCTCTAAGCCTCTACAGTTCATCTTAAAACTACAGGATGCCCTGAGATGCTTATTTAAAGTCAGGGTTTGGAGAGTTCTTATCCTTGTGAGAGAACATCCGAGCAACAGTTGCATGAAGCCATTATTTTTGCAGGAATATTTAAAGACTAAGTTTTGCAATTGAATTTGCAATTCTGAGTTGTGTTTTGTAATTGAGAAGAGCATTCTTGGCAGACAAAGGTAAATAAAAAGCAGCTCAACTGGGTGAGTAAAACACTGTTTGAAGATTTCTTCGCAGTCACTTGCAGAGTAGCCCTGGAAGGTGGAGATTTAGAACAGGCGAGGGAATGAAACGCTACACGGTAGACACAGCCAGACTTCCACCTTGTTGATCCAAGGAGAGAGGAAATGTTGCATTTTGTTGTGCTTACCAGGCAGACCTGAAGCGCTCCTGAGAGACCGAAGTTGCACCTTTCCCCTCACAGCTAATCTCTCCTGCAGCTTGGCCATTTTCTCTCCATTCCTCACATTTGAAATGATGATTTCTGTGAAGATATCACTTTGTTCAGTGATAGACGTATAGTATAAGAAGAAATTTAACTAAAGATGGGAGTTTTTAGTTAGCATTAACATTTGGAGTCGTCTCTGACGAAAACTCCACAGTAGCCCACGGTGGCCTCGGCATCATTTACCGAGCACACGTCACCTCAATTATTTCTCGGTGTTCGCTGAGGTGGTAAAAAACAAGAGGGAGATTTAGCTTAGGAAAACCAATGGCTATAATATGTACAGTTTTAGACAATTTAGTAATAAAGCAGTTCACTATGAAAGCATGCTGTATTGTAACGTGTATTGGCTGAGACAGGGAAGGTGTTAGCATTTTTAAATTCAAAATGAATTTTTTTTCCCTGTGGAGAAAAAAGGCATTGTGGTAAGAAATAAAAAGCAGGGTTGAATGAATGAATACATGTTTTCTTTAATGATAGAAGAAACACATAAAGTTGGTTCATTTCATGCTAATTTTTCCAAGGCCAGGCTTCATTAGAGAACAAAAACAAGGCTGTTAAACTAGTTTCTTTTCTTTCCTTTATTCTCTCTTTTCTTTTAGTGGCGTATGTTGAGATCTAAGTGTTAAAAAAATGAGAATTAAGAATTGAGAATTAAATGAAGATGTCTGATTTTAAGAAACCATATCTTGAGACTTAGTTCCTTTATATAACAAGTTATGGCAATAGTAAAATAATGTGATCAGTAATTATTTTTCTTTGACAATCACTTCTCAGTGACAGTAAAATTGAATGACCAGTAAATCAGAATTCTTTATCACTTAAAGGACAGAAGCATTTCAACTGCCCAGGAAAATGACAGGCCTGATAAAATTTCCACATTAGTGCTCATCATTACACCATACTGCCTTCTTCGGGCATCTCATTTCAGTGCCTACCCTTGGGGTCCCAAATCATTTTGTTAACGACCAAACAGGTACACCCACAGAAAACACACTGTAGCGTGTTTACATATAAGGTCTGTCCAAAAGGTATCCAGACATGCAATATGAAAAATAGAGACATTTATTGAAGCAGATAGAACAAACATTGTACAAAGGACAATGATGCCTCAGTCCCCTTCAAAGTAGGCACCTTGGGACCTCACACAGTTCTTCCAGTCACCATCATATTTTCCTGAATCTCGTTGATAATCCAAAATCTCTTCCCTTTCAAAGGTGATTTTAGTTTGGGGAAAAGCTAGAAGTCACAGGGTGCCAAATCTGGGCTGTAGCGGGGCTCAGTCACCTGGGTGATTTGATGTTTTGCCGAAACACTCTGCATGGAAATGTGATACATAAGCAGGCATGTCGCCGTGATGAAGCTGCCAGTCACCAGTCGCCCATAGTTTCAGCCTTCTGAATCATCTGAATAGTTTCCACGGAAGAATGTTCAAGCTTAACACAAAATTTGGTGCAGATTTGTTGCTCTACTCACTTTTAATGCAATGTCCACACAGCACACATGCTCACTCAATGGCGTCTACAGCCCCCACTGACTAGCACAGTGAAGTCATCATTGTTCACACACGTGCATTCCAGTCCATTCTCCTTGACTGCCAGGTTACATCAGTGTCACTCAAACTGGACTTTTTATATTAACAATGGCTGGACTTTTTTTTAGATAGACCTCGTTTTTGAGTTAGGTTTCTTGAAATAGTATACTACCACAACAGAAATATTCAAATATTGAATTTGATAAACAGTCAAGTTAGAGGAGTTTTCTTTGAAAGGAAATACTCCAGGCAAATGCATGCTCTTTAACAGTAAGACAAGTAGGGTTGTTTTTTTTTTCCCTTTACAGTAATATTTTGGACACATTGTTGAGAAGAATGTGAAATTTATATAAATCTTAAGAAAACAGAAGACTTCAAATAAATGTTTCCTGGTCACTTCTGAGCATCTGCTGTTACCCCAAGATCTTTGGACTTACAGCTTCAGTCCATCTGGACAGATAAAGATTCTGTGATAGATAATTTTTAGAAACACCGCCCCTTAATGTTTTTTCAAGTTCTCATTTAGTCTATTTTATATTTCCTGAGGTGCTTCTTTTGCTTTGCAATTTCTGTGGAGTAAATCACACTGTGTGTGTGTGTGTGTGTGTGTGTGTGTGTGTGTGTGTGTGTGTGTGTGTGGTATCAATGTGTATTAGCATTTGAAGCGTTTTTCTGTTTTCTCTGCAGATGATCACTCTTTTTCTCTGAGTTGCCGCTGTGGTGGAAAATACAGTGTTTCCGAGGAAGAAGTAGAAGAAGTTACCCTGGTTTCTTGTGATACTTGTTCACTAATTATAGAACTGCTTCACTGCAGCTGAAACTGTTCGCCAAGTGGAATCCTTTAACTGTATATGCAGGAATGTTAAAGAGAGTCCATTCCAACTTTCTCTATTCAAACAACTATAAGGTTGACCAAGAAAAGATTCTTTTTTTGTAAGTTCTATTATTTGCAAAGATAATATGCAAATTCTACCCCATATTAGTAGAAAATTTAGTTCTTTATATGTATTTATAATTTGCATTTACAGAGCACCAGAAAAGGGCTTTGAATTATAAATTATATTTAGCAAATTCCTATTTGAGAACTTATTATTGATTTCTTTAATAAGCATGTCTCCTTTTTTAATGGTCACAATATCATCATATTCTTTTTTAGTTACTATGTTTTTAAGGTTACTGACATTTCTAGTTGTCAGAGTTGTAGGCCTGTTATATAACTGTCTTAAAATCTCAGGTCATTAAATTAGAATCTTTGAGAATAACATGTGAGCCTATTTCTCCCATAATGAAGCCTGAATGTGGATATTCATGAGGTCATTTCAGAGTGAATAAGGAAGGCAGAGAGGCATCTGTAAAAAAGGAGGACAGCTTTGGAGTCAGAAGACTTGACTTCAGTCCTAGCACTGTATTTTCAAATTCTTCATGTGGCTCTATTAAAGGAAGTAAGCTTCCCGAACACTGCCATCTTCAACTTTAAATATAGTTTAGGAAATGGTAGCTTTAGGTTCAAAACAGGTGCTTTATTTTTCTGTTTTATTTCAGTGTATTAAGATATAGTATTAATGCTTATATTTGGGAATAAGGGACTATTGCATTGCTAGTATGATGAAATGGATCTTTATAATGTATCGTTATTGATTACAGTAGACTCTAAAGATTTTATTTTTCTATACATTTAATATTCTGTGTATAGTATAAGTCAGAACTCATTTAAAAATTGATTTAGAAAGGAATCCTTTGTGGGTTCGTTGAAACCTTCTTAATTTCAAATAAGAGAGCCAAGCTTGTGACTTAGCAGCTTTTTATTAGGCTGAACTCTTTGTATTTGTTGTTGGTTTGGACATAGAAGACTAGATTTCTCCTGACTTGTAAATGTAGCTAAAGTATAAAGCATCTTCCTGGGAGATTTTCATTATACCTATAAAACTACAAATTTAAAAGTGAAGTTGTCATCCAGGTTTCCCCCTAAAATATTTACATCTCTCATAAAATTTAGATGATTTGTTTTGGATTACTTTTATCCATATGTTTTGAATTAATATAGTATAAAAATTATGGGACTTATTCTTTATACTTAATAATTAAAAATCACAAACTGAATAGCAAATAGTTTATTAGTGAATACATGGTTTCAGTGAATAATAAATTCACTTGAACAGAAGACAGTCATCAAATGAAAAGACTAAATCCGTATTAATCGTCAGAAGATCTGTGGCCGTTAGGGCTGCCGCGTAGAAATCCAAAATCACTCAGAGGCCAAATCTGTAAAATCAGAATGATTGCAGATAATTAATGTCAGTGATGTTACGTCATCATCATGTCCCTTTTTTTCATTCATCCCTTTTTCTGTGCCATATAGCTAAACACTTTCTCTTTATTTTTCATTCAAGAACAAATTTCCTACATCATAACAGACTTTAAAAAGTAAATTTCTATGTGTGTATTTAAACTCTAACACGGGTTTGAACTGCGTGGGTACGCTTATATATGCAGAAGTTTTTCAATTAATACACAGCTGACCCTCTGTGTGCCCAGGTTTCTAACAGTGAATTAAAAGCAGTACTTTTGACCCATGTTTAGGAATTCGTGGATGCAAAGGGCCAACTGTATGCATTGTTTCATGTGACTTTGTAATGTATCAGGGACTTGAGTGTCCACAGGTTTGGTGTCTGCAGGCTCCCTGGAACAAACCCCAGATGCTACAGATGAGTTTGGGGCGGGGAGTCAAAAGTTATACAAGACTTGCAACTGCATGGGGGTCAGAGCCCCTAACTTCCACATTATGTGAGTGTCAACTATATATACGTGTGAATGTGTGTGCCTGTGTTTCCTTTTAATTTTTTAAAGTTAACGGTAAACCTAAGTACTTGAATATATGCTTAAGTGTAAAGAATCCTGTAAATGATCCCCAAATGTTGTCTATTTTTCTCCTTACTGATTGTGACAAAAAGGAGAAGCCAGTGAAAATAATCTTTCCTAAGAGCCATATATTGACTACAGCTGGGATAAGTCCGTTCCTCACTGTGCTTCACTGGGCTGCCCAGTTAACGATGCATTAACGATGGTTTGCCTCCAGACTGCTCCTCTGCAAATGCGTCTGAACACAGTCTGTAAAGGATGTGTGAGACAGAGATGTCTGGACATTCAAAGTAAAGGCTTCTTATGCTACAATACAACTAAGATAGTTTGAATGTTATTATGCCAACAGAAAAGTTCTTGATTACCTGTCTCTATGGGAAGAAGGGGTAATAGTTATAGGTGTAGGCCAACATTTTCGTAACTGTTACTGCAACAGTTAAATCCACCAACAGCCTGAAAACCTCAAAGTTCATTTTGAAAGAAACTTGACCCGCAGCTCGGAGAAGCAAGCCTACATTTTAAGCCAAAAACAGTACCTTAAAGAAGATTCGTCCTCTTATTAGTCCATATGGAATAGGCCCATAGTACCTGGAATCTGTAGAATTCTGTAGATTATCACCTTCTAACCAAACGTGACCTGTTGGAACCTGGAATTAAAGAAAGCAGCCCTTTTAAAATGGAAAAAACAGATGTGGGTACCACTATAAATAAAAGTATTTCTTGTGCGGGTAGGGAGAAATATCCTAAAGTTCTCTTTCATAAAATACATGTAAACCCTATGATTTCATTTTTGTGCAATAAAATAACTTTTATTAAATATAAGATTAAGGTTTCAACTTTTTTAAAGACCCGTTTGTTTATTTTTGCCGCATGATTCCCAAACATTAATTTGTTACACAAACCCCAAACTGAGGTTATAAGAGACCAGAACAGTGTGACAGGGTCATTAATTTGATAGACTTCAAAAAGAGGTCATCAGGATGCTGCCTGAAAACGCGCCCTCCTGTCTCAGCAGCAGCCTGGGCAGGGCAGCCGCTCATTCAGCAACATCCTGGGGCCAGTACCGAGGCCAGACCTATTAGACTGCTCATGATGAACTGGATGGTAATTGATTGTGACATCAATTACAAATAATCTCATCATTTTATTGGATGGGCTTGTCAGAATTCTAATTAAGATCCCTGTTCTGCCTTTGTACAGGCCATATCTGTAATGCATTATACTTCAATAATGACCACCAAGAACGGGAAGGGCCTATTATAAAATCATCAGTTGTAAAATTAATGATGGTAACCTTCTAAATGAAAAGACCCTAGTTCCTATATGTCCTGTGTAGTAACTGGTAGATAACGTAAGTGTAAATTTTTACTCAATGGCAAGCATGTTCAAAGAACAGAACATGTGTCTTTAAAAAAAAAGGTTTCTTTGATGAGACATTTGCTCATTAATGTCTGTTTAGCATAAACTTAAAAAAATTACAGCAACAATCTTCAAACTGCATTTTAAAAGTTTTTATTTTATAGGTTGTTTTGGCCAAGAAGTCGAAGTATATTGCCCAGTCCAAAATGATCTGTCAGGAAGGAATTTATTTTCACTGTTCTTTTGAATGGCTATTACTTGAGGGCCTTGTGTGAATAAAAATATCCCTATTCGATTTAATAAGAAATGGCTGCAACTTTCAAAAGTGTCACCAATTACTTCCCTAACACTTTATTGTTTAGAACATTTTTAGGTTCACAGCACAACTGACAGGAAGGTACAGAGAATTTCCACATACCCTCTGCCTCCACACATGCACAGCACCCCCCCACCCTGCGTGACTGACACCCCCACCGCCGTGGTGTATTTGAGATACCTGGTGAACCTACACGAATCATCTGGAGTCCAAAGTTTACCCTAGTGTTCATTCCTGGAGCTGTGTATTCTACGGGTTGGGCAAGTGTATGACATGTATCTTTAACACTATATCAGGGATTATATAATGTTGGAATATCATATATGTAGAAATACTTGTCAAAAATTAGTTAATTATTTTTATTTAGATATACTTAAATGTTAAATTTCTCTATTTGTAGAGAAAAGACATAAGTTTCTTGAAGAATATGACATACTATAAGATTACTCTTTTTTTTATTGATTGATTTTAGAGAGAGAAGGGAGGGGGAGAGGAAGAGAGAAAGAAATTGATTGTTGTTCCACTTACTGATGCATTCATTGCTTGTATGTGTCCTGACCAGGGATCAAAAACCTACAACGTTGGCATATCGGGACAGCATTCTAATCTGCTGAGCTACGTGGCCAGAGGATCACTCTCTCTTATTAGTGTTACTAGTTACAGGTTCTAGGGCCAAGAGTAAGGCTAGTTCCTACCTAGATCAGTGGATTTATATGCAGTGAAGCATAAGGTTGCTCAAGGAGACAAATGAGTTTATCTCAGTTCATAAATGAAAAGAACAAAATAGTGTATTTGGAAAAGCCATGTGTCGTTAAATTCTGAAGTACTGCCTTGGGAGAAGCCACATGTGAACATCTATTGTGTTTAAACTTCCACAGTTTCTTCATCATAGTTTAGGAACACCAGGAAAAGCAAAAGAAGAAAAAATTGTATAGGCTAATACTAACAGGAAGATACAAACCAAAGCTAGAACTCAAATATTTGCTGGTGATTATTAGTAAGTAGAAATTTCTTGTAAAATACAATCACTTTGGTGGCAGTTATGACCTAAGTTTCTTCCAAATTACCTAAATATGGCCATGAAGCGTTCTCTCTGGTGTTGTAAAATTAACAAGTACAGAAAGAAATCTGCTAAGAGAAACCCAGAACATCGCCAGAAGCCTTCGGAGGAGTGCAACCAGGCTAGCTACACCTCATCCTGACTGCAAGAGATGGAACAAGAGGGAGGAATAGCAGTGCCAACCAGTATGTATATGTGGCTTTCTGGTTTATTTAATAATAATAATAAACAAGTAAAAACTCATTTGACCCTTAAAACAACCTGTGAAGTACTGTTACTGATATTTAATAGAAGAAGTAGGTTCCAGTATGGGACATGTTACCTCCTACTTATCTGAAGCCTGTACATAATAATGCCCACTTACAGTAAGGAATAACCTCTGTATCTCACAGACATCAGTGCTTGACACAAAGGACAACAATCAAGGAAACAATTTCATTGCTTATGGTACCTTCAATCTAATGAGCACTTCTCTATAAACAGGAAAACCTCTAAGTGTGTACCTTTTAAAATCAAGCAGTACCTTCTGCTGACCCTGCCTCTCCATCAGTTTGCTCGGCCTCCCAGTAAAAAATTCATGATGTTTGAAATTATTCTGTTTTTGGAACACAACTATTTTTGGTATTGAGTAAAGGCGTACACCTTAAAAATCAATTTTATAAAGGTATACTTTACATACCGTGAAACACGCTCATTTTAAATTGTGACACTAATTTTGGAAAATATGCACATCTGTAAAACCACCCATCACAATCAAGATGGAGAATATTTCCATCATGCCCCAAAGCCCCTTCCTGTTCCTGTCAGCCCCCCGCCCCTACAGCCAGCCCTAGGCAACCAGTGATCAGTTTTCCATTACCAGTGACTAGTTTTACCTCTTTCTGAATTTCATAGGAAAGAGACTGCCCATTTACATGCTCAGTAGATATTATTTAGTGTCTGGCTTTTGTTCAGCAAATTCTTATGATTAATTCATGTTGTGGGTATGTATCAGTCATTCATTCATTGCTTGTGATATTCCATTGTAAATCACAATGTTTATCCATGACCTTATTGATGGGTATTTACATTGTTTACAGTTTGGGGCTCTTACAGATAAAGCACTGTGAGCATTCATGTATAAGTCCATTTTCAGTAAACACCTTGGGGTAGAATTTCTAGGTCATAAGTACATAATTGGCCTTAAAATTTTCCAGTGTGATTATACCATTTTACACTACAAACACCAAGGTATGAGTTTTTCTGTTGTTCCAAAATCTTGATGTTTTCATTTAAAAAATTTTTTGCCATTCTAGTCCATTATTAGTATCACACTGTGGTTTTCATTTGCATTTTTCTGACAAGCATTTTTTCTTGTGCCTATTATGTATCCTTTATGAAGTATTATTAAAATACCGTGCCCATTTTAAAAATGGTTTTTTTCTTATTCTTCATCTTAAGAGTCTTTTATATACTTTAGTTCAATGTCCTGTGACAGGCATTATGTTTTCTCCTGGTCTGGGGTCTTTTGTAGTCTCTATTTATAAGCTCTAGAAATTTCACTTGGCTCTTTTTTACATTTACCATTTCTTTCCTCATTATGTCCATCCTCCATATCCTCAAAAATATTTAGAATTGGTCTTTTGGAGCACACGTCTGTTAATTCCATTATCTCTGTCATCTTTGAATTTACTTAACTGATTTTTGTTCTGGTTATGAGTTACATTTTAGCAATTGTGATTGAGTTGGACATTCATTTGTTGAGTGTATTTTGTTGTCTTTCTTTAGAGTATGCTAAATGCTGGACAGGTCTGCTGGTTTAGGGGGAGGCAGTTAATTTAGCTGTGGCTCAAGCCTTGTTTTTAAGTTTGTTACATTGTACCCACCTAGCTCACAACGTTCTCTTTTGCCCTACCAGTAGGACATGATATTCTGGGGTCTCTACTGAATGCTCTGGATATTCAGTGAGATCTGTCCACTCTGGCTGGTCAGAGTTCAAATGGCTCTCAGCCCCGTGTGAGCTCTGGGAATTACTTAGCTCCCCACTACAGGTTCTTTGCTCAGTCTCTTAAATTGCACCATGAGCAGGCACAGTTTAGTATGCATTCAGCCCAAAAGCCAAGAGAACCGGATCTCAGCTGACCCTGCTGATTTGATCCATAAATTCCAACCACTTACACTTCCCTCCACCCTGATCCCTCGTCTCCTCCACTGAGCAAGGCCACTGTGCAAGTCCCCTCCTCAGGCCTCCTGCAAGTGGCCTTCAGGCAGAGAGGCTGCGGCAAGTGTAGGGCTGGCCAGGCTCGTTTCCCTTCTCTCGGGGATCCATCTGGTCCTGCCTGCTGTGCACTGTCTGAAAATAGCTGTTTCACATATTCTGTCCAATTTTCTAGTTTTTTTAATGACTGAAAGGCAAGTTCAGCACCAGTCACTCCATCATTGTCAGAAACAGATTCAAATTATCTAATGTAAAGTTTTTATTGTGATTTTTAGCATACTTCATAATATGAAGAGAATCCTTTTGGTCAGAATGAAAAGTTCTGTGTGCCTTTGGCATTGCCTTGTGCCCCCTTTGGGGGTGGCTCTTCTGTGATTTCATTTTACTTTTTCCCTAACAACATCTTCAGAAAAGATTTGCCCAACTCAGCCTGCAATTATGTAGGAACAAAGGAGTTCACTATGGTGTTACCTGTATCTCAAAATTGGCAACAATATAAATATTTCCTCAGTAGGCAGAGATTAAATAAAATAAGTTTATTTCTATAATAAAACTAATAGATTTATTATAGGTTTAAAAAAACTAATAGATTTATATGCAGATAGTAAAAAAAAGCTAAATTACAGGGCAATGGGTATAAATGTTGAAAGAAAACTCACAAAAGTTTGTTTTATGTTTCACAATGTACATTTTTGTGACTTGTATGTTATTATTTAGGCAATTTAAAATACATGCACAAGCACTTAACATATGTATCTTAATATGCCTAGACCTTTCAGTGATACTTGTACTTTTAAAAAAGGGAACACTGTCGAATTGAAAGTCTGTTTTGTCTGTGGTGGTGTGGAAAGAACGGCACCCAAGGATGCCCCAGCCCGGATAGCAGGCTC